CCCCCACACACACACACACACACACACACACACTGAGAACAAAAGCCATCTTTATATTTCATGTTTTTTTTATTCAGCATCAGCCCTCTCCGGCCACATACTGTTCTGACATTCCTCTTTTTTTGTAGAGTTATGAGTGGATTGAAAAAAGCACTTTAGGGCAAGAAAGAAACAGAAAAGAATCAACTTTCACGTTCTCCGTGTGGCCTTTAAGGTGCGAGGAATAAAGGCGTATTTGTATTAATCGATCACACGCCAGGCTTGGTTGAAGCCCGGCCCTAATGGCTGCTCGCTGTCATTTTGCAAGCGGCTTGTAAAAAGGATTAGAATGGCTCCGTGGAGTAAGAGTGCACGAACAGCAAACTTCTGTGGCCAGCGAGGAAAATAAATCAATTTGTGCTTGATGGTGGTGCAGTTCGGGAACATAATGTCTAACGATGATGGAGTTTGGACACTTCATACTTGTCATTGTAAAATTGGATCGCCGTGTTGCTAATGATGGTAATGTATGTTGTGCCTCGCTTGCTACAGTAATCCTTCACTCTGTCTCACTTAAATGCTTCTCATTGTCTGGCATATTGCATTATGAATACCAGCAGGAACAAAAAAAAAAGAGAAGAATTCAATTTATATAGTCATTCATTTGAGCAGCGCGTTAATGGAAAAACTGGGTAACCATATAAATTTCTTCTTCTTTTTTGTCACAGGCGATTGTAACTTTGAGAGGCCGCTGGCAGCGTGTGGATACAGCCAAGGCCGAGACGACGACCTTGACTGGGAGCAGGTCAACACCAGAGAGAAGACTTCATCAGAACCATGGATGCCCTCAGGTCAGGACGGTGACTCGGGATAAATTCTGGGGGGGAAAAGAGAACTCTAGCAGCACACTGAGAATAATAATAAAAAGAAGCAATAGGCTGTGCATTTAATGCTGTATGTTTTAGGTCAAAATCAGTACAGTGAACCCCTGCACAGTAACGTTTCAGTGTGCAGACTCAATCTCTCATGGATAGTTTGCAGTAATCACCGTGATGTTGTGGAATGTCTTTTTTTCATGCTTTTTTGTGAGTTTTCAAGCTAAATTGCTAAGAACATAAGAAAATACAAATTTTGTAGCATAAATGTTAACATAAATACCCCATTAATAAAATAAAAAACAAGCTCCACAAGGGGCACAGCATTTCCGCCTTCTAACCAGTGGCAGATGTAGGATTTTTCTGGTTAAGGGGCCACAATTTTCATAGAGGGGCCAAGTAATCAGTCAACATCCTTACAAATAAATCCCCTGTTTTGGTAAGGTGTATACATTTAACCAATCATACATGTTCAAACACTTAAAATGTAGTGAAATGTAATTTTAAAAAGCGTGCACAGTAAATTCTCCTTACCAATTTTACATGTATTTTTACTGTATAGATAAAATATTCGTAAACACAAAATGTGAGAAAATCCAGCCATTGTTTGTCAGGGGAAAGACTTGGTTTTTGAAAAATTGTTAAAATCTTCTTACTAAAAGAAAACCTCTGTAAGCTTGATTCCTGCTGGACTGTCCTGTTTGACTCGTTAGCACCACTAGTGTTAGAACATGGAACTGCAGCCACCAACATCACACTCGAGTAAAGAGCAAATAAGTGACAGGATGGGGGCACTTCAGGGGGCCAATCAGAGTTCACCTGGAGCCAATGTCCCTGTGGCCCCACCCCCTAGAACCGCCCCTGCTTCTAACAGTACCATGTGGTGTGTAGCTGCTAACTGTTTAGCTCTCGTGTGTTTTTGTTTGGTTCTTACCACATTACGATGTGACACCAAACATGCTGTAGGCCGTATCCCATATCTGCATTTTTTTTTCATGATTTATGGGCACTCTAAGAACTTATCCCTCATGAGGATTGTGAATTCACTGTAATAAGTAATTACCTCATGTTTAGCCCAAAATCTCTTACTACTGTTAGAGGCACTATTGAACACAGCATGCAGACAGATCTGATGGTAAACTGTGTCCAGGCAGATACCAGGAAGATGTGCAGCAGCTGCCAGCGATGCCCACCATAAATAAGAACAGGGTTTTAAAAAGAACAAACATTACTTTACCATTTGCAACTTATCATTTTCCCATTGATACAATAAATTTGATGGCACATTCATTTGACCTTTTTTCCCAGTTTTATTTTCAGGATGACATTAATCAAAGAGTGGCTCTTCCAGTCAGCTGATTTAGGTGTTCTGCACGAGACATGATTTCTAATCAGGCCAAAAGTCTGACTTTAATCTGAAATTATTATAAGAGTTCTTTAAAAAGCTTTGGCTTTAGCGAGTAATGAATATTGATTATGACCTAATATGCTGATAATTCATCCCTGATTCATCTTGTGAGCTTTTAAAAACAAAACTAGATTTAGCTTCCCTCTTTAGAATATCAATTCTAATCTTTTGTTATTGCCTGCAGGTAAAAGTCCAAGTGCTACTCATTACATAATGTCTCGTTAGAGTCAACTTTTAGCAGAATGTCTCATGAAGCACAGGGTGGATTTTGTGAAACTTTAAGAAAGTTTTCACTGGATTTACAGGTAGTGAGCTAAAGTTTTAAGTGGTGGTAGTTCAGAATCATTCTCAAAACATACTCTGTGACATCTCACAAAATTAACTGCTGCAATTCCATCATTTCTCCACATAAGAACTTAAATTCTAGCTTGAAAGGCAGCAGGTGTGAAAGCAGTGGTTCCCAAAGTTGGGGTCGGGACCCACAGCGGGGTCCTGAAACATCAAGGTGGGGTCCTGAATATATTTTCCAAATTAATTACACTAAAAAATGACATCTAAGAAACATTTTTTTGCCTTTGTTGTTACAAAATAACAAGATTAATGTACATAAATGGACAAAAATAGGCTGATAAAAAATGTTACTATGTTTATTTGACATGAAAACAATGTTTATCAACCGAGTACAGCTAGGGGCACAGGTCTTGTATTTTGTGGGTCAAAAGCTGAAAAATGTGTGAACCACTGCTTTAAAGAATGAAAGAACTTAAAGTGTCTGTAGCATCAAATTTTTAGGATGATTGCTAACGCATGTTTTTAGAAAGATAGCGTTAATAAAGGATTGATTTGATTTATTTATTTAACAGGAAAAGATTATTAAAAATCAAGCCTGACAGCATAATTGCTGTTTTACAACAGGTTCCTGTTCTGCAGCACATAAAACACTCAGAATTACAGCATCACAATCACATCATTATTATTACACCATAGACACAAAGACAAACAAGCATACCAAATTTCAAAAAGGCAGCATTTGCAAAATCGGACGTCTAAATATGAGCACAACAAAAAGTAACCAGCAGATGGCAGACAAGATTCTTCTTAAAGGGCTGTAGTTTTGAAATGGACTTTATGTTTTGAGGAATGTCATTCCATKCTTTAGTATAAACATAGAAGAAAGACCTCTGGCCGTAACTGTTTTTAAAAGTTGGTAGATTGCAAAAAATATTTCATGACGCTGAGATGAACAGTTGTTGAGATATTTGCGCGTAAAGAAACAGGAAGTGATGTCAAAGTGGAAAGCCTGCATGTAAACAGAGCATTGCTACAACAGCTAACAGCACAGACGGTAGAGAGGAATCTGATTTTTATGCACTATCAGAGAGATGAAGAGTCAGAGCTCAAATAATATTGTTTCAATAAACAAAGACCAGGGAGTTCCTCTTTTCAAAGAGTTCCCCTTTGATGTCACTTCCTGTTTCAACAAAAATATGCCAGTTATGTTTAAAATTAGTAAAATGATGTGTTTTATGCTACATTTCCTAAACTTAAGGATGTTTTCTTCCACTTTTTCTACTTGTGGGATGCATACAGGCACTTTAAACTGTTTCCTGTTTATGCAGTGGGACAACATGAACTGATACCGAAGCACTCTGACCTGTTTTAATTGAAGGCATCTGTCAGTCACATGGTGAAATTCACATCAATGCCTCCTCTGCCTTTTGAGTCCGTCTCAACCAGTTTGTCTCCTTAACGTCCCGTTGATGGTTTTTCATTTGATGTGGAACATGGAGACATCCCTGCCACTGAGCAGGCAGCCAGCACCTCTTGAATCAGACGTTTCTTTGTTGTGTTCACGTTCTAACAAAGGTAGCATTGCAAACTAATGGATATTGTTTTTCCTCTCCTATCTGACACCTAATCTAACAAAGGCTGCATCACAGATAGATTGCATTGGGGCCCCCAGTGACAGAGGGGGAATTAATTAGCAGGGCCTCGCTAATTTAAAGCAGCCTGCACCCAGACCTGTTTGTGTGTGTACGTAGATCAGGATGATGTGTGTTAAACTGCCCCGGAGAAATTACTTTTCACGGTAGGGGAAGTAGTGTCTCCCCCCGACACCCCGCCCTTCTTTTTTCATTGCAGTTGATTAATGCCGGGACACATGAAGGCTAGGCAAAGGTTACTATGAAATCTGGAAAAGCCTTGACCTACAAATTAACACGGCGTGCACGGTCTAAATTTAACAGATCTAATTAAAATCCCATGTCTGGTTAAGAGGTGTCCCTGATTGTGCTTTGCAGCCTGAGCACACTCCAGGAAGGCATGTTTTCTGCGCGTGCATCTCGAATTGTGCGTAATTAGCGGCTGCCGCGGCTCTTTCTCCGTACCGCAGTGCGAGCACTCAAACCCACTGTGCTAAATTGTAATCTCTCCTCTTTGACCATGCTGAAAAGGGATGTGAAATGTAGTGCACTTGACAGGTAAAATTGTTTTACTGATACTAGAGCGGGGGTTGATGGGTAAAAATGCATTTAGGTGAAAGGCACACTGGTGGAAAAGCTATCTCACCTCTGATTGCTGTCTTACTCTCAACTCACACTTATGAATCTTCACAAAATGACCTTATCATACTCGCTCAAAAGATTGTTATCCTACCTGGTGTGGCAGGATGGAAATGAAATTGATGTGGCGATGCTCAGAACGGAGAACAGAAGGCATTACTGCCTGGAGCCCCTTTTAAAATTGGTTATAGACAGTATCTGTCTAAATAGCGGTGTTCTCAATGTCACTCTGAATGGATGGATTTAAATGATGCTTTAAGTCCTCCTTGTTCCGGCTGAGTTCTCCCAGCAAATAAAATCTCCCTGCAGGTTTAAATGCGCGCCTCTCGTGTAAACTCCAGTTTTGAGCTTCCGTTAGAGTCGTGAATGATTGCGCACTTGGGCTACGTTCAAGTTTATTTCCACCTTTCCGTGCCAAAATAGGAAGTGGAGTGCTTTAAGGCAGGGGGAAAAAGGGGGCGTGTGTGATATGTTTGACCGTTTCTGCTGTCAAAGCCTTGGATTTTAATGTTCGGCGTTTTTATGAACCATAATCACAGTCTTTCCCCTAACTGCCAAATCAGCTATAGTGCCTTCCGCCATTTTTTTTGTTTCTAAATTTAGCCTCCCTTTAACTTGACTTTATTACCATTAACTCTAACATTTTTGTATCTGTATTAAATTTGATCTGCTAATTGCTCAGAATGCTGACATTCTAAAACCTTCTCATGCAGGATAAGAATTAGTCGTTGATGATCATTTGTTTACTGAGAGTTTGATTTGCAAGATATTTTGCTAACAGACAGCCAGGATTGACTCCAACAGTTTTTGCCAATGCTTTAAACCAGTGGTTCCCAAACTTTTTTTCTTCTGACCCACAAAATATCCATGGCAAAAACTTGTGACCCCAAATATTACTGGTCTGAGTACACAAACTTTGTTAATAACTCTAAAAA